AGATTTATGTGGAAACTTCTAGAATATTCTAGAGAGAATATTCTGGTTTTGGAGAGTGAGGAGAGTTAGTGATGACTCTCAACAATAATAACTGCAACCTAATAACCAATAGTACAGAGAAGTGGTGATGGGGATTACCTTAGAAGGAAGAGGATAGTCGCCACTGTGGGTGGGCCAAACTTGGCGGCGTACAAACCGATCGGTGGTGGTGATTTTTCTCAGCACATCAATCAAAAGCCTCACCGCAATGTCAGCGACATCTTCAGAGAAGACACTAGCAGCGTTGGTGACGGAGATTCCGCGGCAGCGGTGACGGTGACGACGAATTGGAGCGACGGGAGGTGGCGGAGGATATCGGTGGTGATCTGACAGTCGCCGAAACCAAGGACGGCCCTTACGAACTGCGCATAAGTTACGAGGAAGAGGTCGGTGGGGAGTGGAGATTCAAAGGCTTTGAGGACTCGAAACTTGGCTGAGAATTGGTGTTGGAACGCTGTGAAAACTAGTGGTGGACGTATCACTAGGATTTGTGGAAGTAGTTGTTGTTGTTCTTCTTTTTCTTGATTTTGATTTTGATTTTGATCTTGATTTTGGGGGTTGCGTTGTGCCATTTAGTTTTTGAGAGAGGGTTGAGAAATTGAAAACAAAACAAGGGGGAGAGAGATGCAAGAGAGTCAGATTAATCAAGTGTGTTGCTGGATTTAACAACCGGTTTGTTTCTATCAAATATGATAGAATGTGTCACATGGATATGGAAACATTGGGGCCTATACCATTTTTCTTCTTTTTCATATTAGATTTGGTTGAATGTAATTAGTAGGTCACATTTGTTTCTCAAATGAGATTATAAGTATGATCAAAATGAATGAGAAAATTAGTAATGTGATAGTGTTAAGTTAAAAATACAGGATAAAAAATGAGAAAATTCTACTTATACATAAAATTATCTCCTTATACCTTTAAAATATTAAAATTTTATTTTTCATAATTTTTATAATATCATTTTTATCCTCATTCTTATCACTTACTCTTCTCTTTACACCCAAACCTTTCAAACCTTAATTTCTTCACCTATGCCCCATCACTACTACCTCCACCTCCACCGTCTCACCACCATCACTGTCACTTCGCCACCACAAACCATGTTTGATTCCCTCAAAAAATCAATACCCTTTTCAGGAAACCCGATCTTCTCATCTGGGTTCTCCAAACTTTGGTCAAAAATGTTCTGGGTGAACTTATTATGAAAATTTTCCCCTCTAGAGATGTCACCAATAAAAATTTTGAGCCATTGCTCAAAATCACCTATTGTGAAGGTACAATCCAATAAAAATCTTGCCCATGTAAAATTTCTCTCTCTCTCTCTCTCTCTATATATATATATATGTATGTGTATGTGAATGAAGTGTTGATTTTGATTTTGGTTCTCATGGAGTTGATTTTGATTTGAAGGTGGATCTAATAATCACAGACTATAGTATGCCTGGAATGGTGGTGGCTAGCAGCGATAAGGGCTTGCATGGTGGTGTTCGGCGATAGTGGCTTTGAAAGATTTAGGTGTAAAGAGAAGAGTAAATGATAGAGATGAGGATAGTAATAGTATTATAAAAATTATAAAAAAATAAAATGAAAATTTAAAATTTTAAAAGTGTAAAGAGATAATTTTGTGGGGATAAGTAGAATTACTCTAACGCTCTATTTGGTCGAGGGATTTAGGGAGGGATTTGAAAAGAAAAAAGAAAAATGTAGGTGGAATGTGAATAAAAGATATCTATATTTCACTTATTTTTTCTCTTTTTTTTTCAAATTCTTTCTTAAATCTCTTAACCAAATACAGCATAAAAAAAATATTTGTTTATATGTAATGCTATAATATGGGATTTATATATGGAATTACATAAATACTCTCAAACCATCGGTGGACGGAGGACTAGGAGTTGTGGGACGTGGCGGTGTTCCATTTGGGCATTGAACGTGTTGAAAACAACCCTAGGAGAGAGAAGTAATAGAGTAGAGAATAAAGTGTTGCTGATTGGAGGATGTTAGGGGTGTTTGGTGGGATTTTTTTGAGCCAACTTATGGCTTCTGCCTTTTAAAAAGTTATTTTGGACTGTTTGGTTAAACTTATTTCAAACAGCTTCTGATTTTAACAACTTTTTTAAGTCAAAAAAGCTAATTCTGAGAGCTGCTCATCCCTTACTTCTGATTATCAACTTCTGCTGTGGACATGTTAATTCACGGTTATACTTTTAGATTTTTTTATTTTTTATTTTTTTAAAAATAGAAAAAGACCCAAGTGGACTATAAAATATTATTATTATTTTTTATGAGAAATGTAAACAAATAGTAAATAATAAAAAATAAAAGTTAATTGAAAAAGTTACTTCACAGCTTATTTAACAAACACTACTCAGCAACTTAAATCTATAATCCAACAGTTATACCAAACAGATTAACAGTTTCTGATTAAAGTCATAATCTATAATCTATTAAGTTATAATCTATAATCTATTTTAACAGTTACACCAAAAAGGACCGTTGTCTGAGTGACTCATAATGGGTCTGCTTTGATTATATTGGAATATTCATTTTGTAAAATTTGTTGTATATTATTTGTGAAGAAAATTAAATTAACTAAGATATATTGTTAAATGAAATTTATGATGGATCTCATATGTAGATAGATAAAATAAATAATTTGAATTATTGATCTTTGAACCATATATTCTTAGTTAACTTGCTTTTTTTTGTTTGAGCACAATGTGATTGTATGTATGGTGTTGGGTATTTATAGTTTTGTTGATACGGCTTGTAAATTCCTTGGCATCATTTCTTCTTCTTTCTTTTATTTTGTTCGTACACATACACAAACACGCACTCACGCTAATATAACGATACATACATATAGCAGTTTTGGTTTCAATTTGATGTGCGCATTGTATAGAATTTTAAAGAGTGCTTTCTATATTAGTCTTTCACAAGCTTTTCTTCAAGGTCTTTTTGCCCATCTTTGGAATTTACTACTAAAAACAAAATTCGAGCAAATTTTTATTTTATTGTTATTATTATTTTATTTGGGAAGAAATTTGACTTTGAAAATCATTTACTGGTTGTTTGCTTGTCTGTCTTTTGTGTGAAAGGACTCTCTACATCCATACATGTGATGGGCACCAGGGGAGTTGAGAAATAATGTGCGTGCATTTATTGTATTATTTTGATCGTTTGAAAACATTACTTTTTAATTTAAAAGTCAAAAAATTATTAAAAAAAATTAAAAAATCAACAATTTATACTAAAAAGTAAAAAAAATTATTTTCTTTCTATTTTTTCTACATTTTTTCGTAAAAAATCAAAAAATCATCCCAAATATATTAATTTTTTTAAATCATATTTTAGTCAAAAAGTCAAAAAATTACTAAAAATACATATTTCCAAACAAGGCTTAAAACGTATAATCATCTTCCCCTTCTTTCAGATTATTGCTCATACATCATCTTCGATAGAATTTATGTATAGAAATTATCTGCGTATCATTTTCGTTTTAGCCTTTTGCCTTCCTGAAATTTGCGGTGAAAGGTATGAAAGTGAAACAGTTTTACATGTGTGGAGATGTGTATCTTATGTTGATTTTCTTTACAACCACCTGTGTTTTACGTTGAATGTATTGGGGTAAATTCAATTTTATCATCCATTCAATGCCTAGAAAGTGAAGTGAAAAAGAATGGAAAGTGAAAGAAAAGTTTATTGTCTAATATGTATTTACTTGAGATGGAATTTTTGGAGGAAGTTATGACAATTTGCTACTTTTATGAGATTATTTGTCTATTTATTTATTTTTGATATTTTTTGTTAAAAAAAAAATTGAAAACAAGTTATCATGTTGACTTGGGTTGTAAAGGAAATTTATCTTTCATACATTTTTCTCCACTCTCATGTTAAACAAATGTGGAAAAAAAATTCATTTTCTTTTTCTCTCAATTTTCACCATTTTTATCGTAATAATCAGACTATAGCTAATGAACTTGTTCCTTCCATACCGCTTCTGTGAGCACAATTCCATTTGTTGGAGGAGAAAATCTATTCGGCTAAATTTGGCATCTCTCAAAAAGGCAAAAAGTTACTCAAAAAGTTAAAAAGTTATCACTATTCATTAAAAAAAAATATTAAAAAATTAATTTTTCACACAAAAGTACAACTCAACAATCATGTATGTTCAGCTCTGTGCTACATTTGTTAAGAAAAATTGCACAGTTTTGGTACAATTTTCACACACTGTTGTTCAGTCCGTGGGGGCCCATCACGGGTCCTGTTTTGATAATTTGAACCGTTCAATGTATAGAACTCGTCGAGTACTATATGTCTATATAAAATCACATTTATTGGATATTGATAACTACATGATCAAATCAGTTTTGTATAAAAAAAAATAAATGGTGTTATAATTAACGATTGAAAAAAAACAATTTTGATCAGATAGCTATCGATAACCAATCAACGTGATTTTTTATAGATATATAGTACTCGACGAATTCTACACATTGAACGGTTTAGATTATCAAAATGGGACCCATGATGGCCCCCATGAGCCGAACAAAACCATCCAGTTCAATACCCGAAAAGTAGCTAATAATTTCTTACCATCAATTCAGCTGTGCAGATTGTACAACTGTACAACACACATCTCTAATCTTCTCCTACACACTTCTTTATACAATTTTTTAATACATATTTTTTCATAAAAAATCAAAAAGTTAATCCAAACATCTATATTTTTTCCTCAACTTTTTAATTCAAAAAAACAAAAAATACACTTATTTATGGCCCCCAAACAATCTCAGCCCAAATACAATAATAATAGAAAAAACAAGTCCATATTCATAGTTTAGTGAGAATCCTAGAATAAATTTGAGTTACACATTGTGTGTGCTTTCTTTTAAAATTTTATTTTAGCACTTAACTTCCACTTTTAGGTACACATGTAATTTCAAAATATATACTAATTAAACAATCAAATATTTTCTCCAAGGAATTGATTGCACTAAAACAGCTACAACTGTATTTTAAAAAGTACATGTATACATGATAGAGAATCAAATTAACAAACCTCCACTTTCGCAGATCTGTCTATGTCTCTTCTGTCTGACTTCCTGCAACCAGAAATCATGTATAATCACGCTGAAGGAAGATTGTGACTTCCTACCATTTTTTACTCATAAAAAAAGCAACACAAATTAACAAATACAGCATGACTCAATTAATTCACTCACTCATTCAACAATCAGTGACAGGAGTAAGAAGTGGTCTATTCCCAAAGAAAGCTTCCAAATTGGCAATCACAAGTTGGGAACAATCAAAAAATGACTCCTCAGTGAAGGCAGCTCTATGAGGCAACAACACAACATTGTCAAGCCCGAAGAGCTCTTTAGGCACATTAGGCTCATTCTCAAACACATCCAAACCAGCACCACCTATCTCTCCCTCCACCAAACACTCCACCAATTCCTTCTCATTGATGATCGCACCTCGGCCAACATTGATGATGACTCCTCCCTTTCCTAGTGCTGACATCACTTCTCTGTTAATCATGTGCCTTGTTTGGTCAGTCAATGAACAACATATGATGAGCACATCAGAGTTTGATGCTAGTTGAGAAACATTTGGGTGAAATGGGTATGTAACATTTGGTTTCTTTGTCTTTGAATTGTATGAGATTATGCAGCCGAAGGACTCTAGCCTTTTTGCAACTTCTATGCCAATGCTTCCTAACCCAACAATCCCAACTCTTTTACCTTCCAACTGAAAACCATCAATTCGCCAAGTTAAGGGACAAAAACAAATATTGCAGTTCAACAATAGCTTTGATGATATGTTCAATAACAATACAAACATCACAAAAATAGTTTCATTTTGGGATCACATTCCATCAGAATGAATACATTCTATGCAATTTTTATAAATTACTGAGCGCTGATGTTGAGTGAGCTATTAGAGCAACTCTAATACTATTAGATATTTTACCTTACAAAAGTATATAAAAAGTATATTCTATTGGAACTCCATTCTATATAGTAAGCAGTGACATATTGAAACTTTATTCTATGGTAAGGAGTGGCGTAGCATGTGAGAAAATTCCTTCTTTAACGTGTACATCAAGATAAAGCATCAGACTTGATCTTTTGTTTGAAGTGATTCTTTTAGTTAATCAGTCATTTCAAAAGAAAATTCCCACTCTTAAGAATAATTGAGTTTCTAAACTCCAAACTCTATAAAATTTTCATTCCTCGATATTTTTTACATCTCACTCTTCTCACGTCTTTATCATGGGAAGTGTTTAGGTGTAAAAAGTGGATACCATATATATTTGCATAAATTCTCACAAATATACATAGGGTACCTCACAAAATCGTATAAGTTCTCACAAATATACGTTAAGTTGTGATTTCTCAAATTTTTATGAGTGAACTTACGTATGTTTGTGAAAACTTACGCGATTTTGTGAAATAACTTACGTATATTTATGAGAATTTACGCAAATGCATATGATATACACTTACACACTTAAGAATTTCCCTTTATCACATACTTAAATTGCTATTTGTTCTATCCGATCCTTCTCTTATAGAACCCTTTTAAGTAGTCTAAATAGACAATTATGAAGTTTTCCTCAGGTCATTTGGCACTATGTTAAATTAACTCAAAAATTATTAAAAAGGTCAAAAAGTCAAAAAGTCATACAAAACTGTCGAAGTTTGATTCTCATTCTCTCTAAATTTCACAAGTTTTTTTTTGGTAAAATGTAAAAGGTCATTCCAAACATTTCATCTCTTTTTTTGTCTCATGTTTTAGTCACTAAATTAAAAAACTAGTGAAAAAGCCAATCCCAAACAAATCTTGATATTTTTATATCTCATTCCTCTTACATCTTTATCACACCCCTTTTATAACTACTCAAACTACCAAAGTAATTGGTTTCACATGAATGTATTGATATCTAATGATAATAATTGTAATGCATGATATGACAAAATAAATATCTATTAAAAACTAATAATTGTAAATGTTGTTGCGTTATTTTAATAATAATTGTATTGCATGATATGATAAAATAAATATCTATTAAAAACTAATAATTGTAAATATTGTTGCTTTATTTCATTGCCGAACAAAAGGAAAAATTTCAATGCAAGGTAGAATTTAAAAAATATACATATATATAAATAAGTGATAAATTTTAAGAAGAATTATTAGAAAGTCCTATATGAGATTCAGTTATTTTAATCAATTCCACAAATTTTCTAATATAGGTTCTGTTTGTTTTGACAATCTTACCGTAAAATCCTATTTTGAATTTCGATATGATTTGGTAGACGTTTCTACCTTTCCTTATTAGGGGACACCATCTTAGGGAAGTTAGATCCAATTTTTAGATCATGTTTCCGTTACTCCAATGTAACAATCAAATGTAATGTAACACTTCAACGTAACACTCTAAAAAAACTCTTTAGTGTACTTTTCTCAAACGTAATATTTCAATTGATGTAACACACAAAAACTCCAACGTAACACTTCAATCAATGTAACACACTAAAAAATTCCTTAGTGTACTTTTCTAAACGTAACACTCCAATCAATGTAACACACAAAAACTACTCAGTGTACTTTTTTCAAACGTAACACTCTAATATAACACTCCAAAAACATAACACTTCAACGTAACAAACTAAAAAACTATTTAGTATATTTTTTTTAAACGTAACACTCCAACAAACCTTACCGTGAGATCCTATTTTGAATTTTAATATGATTTGATGGACTTTTATACCCTTACTCATTAGGGGACACAATTTTAGGAAAGTTGGATCTAATTTTTATATCACGTTTCTGTCATGCCAATGTAACATTTAAACATAACACTCAAAAAATGTAACATACTAAAAAATTCTTTAGTGTACTTTTCTCAAACATCATAACACTCCAATGTAACACTCCAAAAATGTAACACTCTAATGTAACACACTAAAAAACTCTTTAGTGTACTTTTCTCAAACATAGCACTCCAACAAACTAGAACAATTAAGGAGATTATAATGACAAATGAGTCATTATACATTCAAAAAATAGATCACAAAAAAAATTATAAAACTAACTGAAACATAATTTCAATATATAAGATTTATCGATTACTCTCCCTAACTTTTACTACTAGTGATAATAATTAAAAATATAAAATTTTCTATCAATCTTTAATTTTTTGACTGATACACTTACTAGTAATTTTCCCAACAAAGAAAAACTAGTATGAATAAACCCTTTTGGCTACAACAATGCTACATACTACTAAATTCCTACCACCAACACCACCACTAATGATGTGGCAAGTAAAAAATAAATAAAAAATTAAGACACAAAACACATGTGGCAGTGAGTGGGGCCCACTACCACATCCCTAGTGCAACCATTAATTAGTGATCTGCATCATTTTTGCTTTTGGCTATTATATCCTTTCCTTTTCCATGGTCCGTTCAACTACTCATATTTATGGGTGGCCCCACAATGTAGGAGTGGACAATAAGGATGGCAATTTCAACCCGACCCGACAGGGACCCGACCCCCCGTCCCCAATAAGAGTGATTTTTTCCTGAAAAATATCCTTGACGGGCCAGGGATGGTATTTAAAATTGAATTCCCGATCAGATTCGGGCCGGGGCCAGGGATCACTTTCACAGCCTCAGACCCGGCCTGTCCCTAGCCCCATTTCTCCTCGAAATAAAATTACCATAATACCCCTCTATCTATTTGTATATATAACCCCCTCTCTCTATTATACATCTGAACTATCTCTCTCTCACACATTCTCTCTCTTCTCTTCTCTCACTTTCTCTCTTCTCTCCACAGACGCAGTCAGCTCCTCCTCTTCTCGTTGCCTCCTCCTCCTCCAGGCCACTGTCGCCTCCTCCTCCGTCGCCTCTCGCGGCCTTCTCCTTCGTCGGCTCCTCCTCTGCCAGGCCACCATCAAACCTTCATACTCCGTCGCCTTTCGCCTCCTCCTCTCTCTGCCACGGTAGATCTGAGAAGATCCCGCCACCGCCACCGTCGATTTCCTCCCTCCCGCCAGATCTGTCTCTATTTTTTTTGTTTTGATGATGTTGCCATTTATGATGTTTTTGTTGATGATCAATGATGTTGTTGATGATGATTTATTATTGAGAGAGAAAGCTAAACAAAGATAGAGAGTTACGGGGATTTTCCGAGGTCGGGGAAACCCGATCTCCGTTGGGGGGCGCCGGGAGGGCGGGTGATGGGTTCCCCACCGGGGATCGGGGCCGAGAACGGGAAATTTTGTAGCTTCGAGGATCGAGGACGAAGAGTGTGATCCCCGACCCCGTCCCGACCCGTTGCCCTTCCTAGTGGACAACCTTGGCATCATCAATTGTTTTAAAGCTAATGTTGAGTAGGCTATAACATAAGATTTTGCCACCTTGAAGTGAAAACAAAAAACGACTTGTATAATACACGTACGAGACTTGTACTATTATAAAAATAACATTCTTTATCTACCGCTCTACTAAACACAATTTTCCTTTATTTATATGGGTACGTGTCTCATGGAATGTGGCCTTCCCTTGTAGGTGAGTAGTGTATAGAGTTTTTAATAATTTTTAAGAGAAATATAGTTATATTTCTACTTAGCTTTATAAATATAGTTTTTGAAATTAATAAAAAGAGAGTCTTGAGACCATTTTATTTATTTATTTTGTCTTTTTTTTTTTTTTTTTTTTTGTCTGATGGTGCTTATTAATATTTTATTATATACAAATATGGTTATTGTAACATTTAAGTATGCGCATGGGTTGGATTGATTTGAGTCCGTGCTAAAGTTATAATCAAATCAATCATGGTTGGTTCCAAATTCTTGGCAGAACAATCTTGCACAACCAACTCAATTCAATCCATCCCAATGTAATTTGGGTTGGAATGACCATTTCACTGTACAAAATAATAAGGGTTGTTTTGAAATTTGATTTTTTTAGGAGTAATAATTTTTTAACATTTAAAAAAAAAAACATCAAAAATTAGAGAGATTAAAAAAAATTTGTAGTGATTTTTTTGACTAAAACTTGATGTTCACAAAATAGGCTCATCAATTAACAGTCTTAATGAACCAGTTAATTCAGAAGGTATTTCCCAAATTGTTGGCTCCTTAAACCTTATGTTACCTTTAATTAATTGAAATGAAAGTAAAATAAATTGAAATGATTATTCTTTAATCTCCACATTGTTTGACCCATTCCCTTCTAATAGTTTTCATTTATAATATATTTTTTTAATCAATTTTTTGACTGTATTGGTTAGAAGATTTGATGAGTGAAATAGAAAGGGCAGGGAAAAAACAATCGCAATTTTTGTTTAGTTAAAATAAAAAAACACAAGAAAAAAGAAAATGGGCAAGAAATACAATTTCATTTTTTGTTTTGAGGTTCACTTATGCTCTTTCCTTCTTCATTTCCCAACTCAACGACATAACTTCAAATTCAAATCTTGTCAATTCTTTCTCATTTTCTTTCTATTTCACTTTCTTTATTTATTTTCCTCGTCAAATCCTCTAACCAAACTCAGTCTTAATGAATCAAACATCAAAAAGAACATTATAATGAAATGATAAACAAAACACTAAAACACCTCTTCTTTTACTTCTCAATAATTTAAAAAAAAAAAAAAAAAAAAACTTCTTTAAACTATATTTGCCTGGTAAGTTACAATTAAAAATGACATCAAACACTCTTAAAATACATTTTCAATATTAAAAAAAATAAAATTAAAAAACTTCTTATTAACTTCATAAGTTATACCCATATGATTATGAGTGATGGGAATTACCTTAGAGCCCAGAGGATAGTTGCCATGACACGGCCAATCTCGGCGGCGAACAAATCGATCGCCGCCGGTGATTTTTCTCAGTACATCAATCAAAAGCACCATTCTAAATTTAGAAGGGAGCTGTTTTTAGGTTTTGTGCGTGGCCTTTTAATGCTAATGTTAAAAATAATAAGCTTATTATCTACATCCATTTTGGTCATTGCTGTCACAACTCACCAAGCTAATGGTCCAGTTTTCCATTTTTTGCATTGTAGGTTGTTGCTCTCTCTCTCTCTCTTCAAAATTTTTTTAAATCCCATTTGTGCAGCAGCCACAATATTTGTTCCTTCCCATTCTCATTGACTGCATGCTTTGGTTCTTACCATGAGATGTTGTAGTGTTATAACTGGTTTGGCTGCTGTCCGTGGGTCACAGCCAGTTTTTGATCCGAGCATAATTCTAGGGATACAGTGAATTGCCATGTTAAGGTGATCATTGCAAAGCCCATGGGTGGGAATGAGCATGGTATTCATCTTTTTAGTTAATCTCTGTTAATTTCTATTCAAATAACTTCAAGCTTGTGATCTTGAGAACAGTTCTGTATATTTGTTAAGTTTCTGATATTTGGCTTTAAGTTTATAATAAAACTTTGCTATTATAATCTATTCTATTATTAAAAGCCAACACCAATTTTGGTGTCATGAAGCCCAACTTTTATCTCCAGCTTTTGTCACCTGTAATTAGATAATAAAAATAAATAAATAAATAAATATATCCACATCCACCCCACCCCACCTCACCCAACCCACGTTCCCTCACATATCTCAACCAATTACTCCAAACTAACCAATCAAAAACCAATTTAATTGACGTGGCAATCAAACATTGGTCAGTTTTCCGTTTGAAAGTCCTGGGTAACTTCCACATGAATTTCGCACCTCTTCGTCATCTTCACGCTGAGTCACAACAACAACAACTTCTCCTCTGTTTATATCTCTCTCTCTCTCTAAAACGCCTCACTTTCTCTCTCCTCCACCACCCACTTAAAAGAAGCCCTTTTCTTTGATTTGTTTCTTTCTCGAGAAAAGCCATGTCGAGGGAAGATTTGGAGAGCAGGGGAGTGAAAATCAGTGGTGGGAACAACAACGCCAGTTCTGTTTCTTCGTATGTGATTGAAGAGAGAGATGCACAGTGGACATCATGGTTGATCCCTATGTTTGTTGTTGTCAACGTTGCTTTGTTCGTTGTCGCTATGTACATCAACGATTGTCCTAAACACAAATTGGGAACTGATGGCAAATGCGTCGCGAGGTTTCTCGGCCGGCTTTCTTTTCAACCCTTGAATGAAAATCCTCTCTTTGGTCCTTCTTCTTCAACGTACTGATCTCTTCTTTCATATCCATGTCTCAATTTTTTGCTTTTTTGTGTTTTTGTTGTCAGAATTTTTGAAATTTTGGAGTTTTGGTGTGTTTATTGGTTAATTATATGTTTTGAAATTAGAAATTTGATTGTTCAGTATCTGATTTTATTTATTTATTTATTTATTTTTGTTTATGTTCTTTTGAAATTTTGTCAACTGTGACTGGACTGGGTTGAAATTTATTTTTGCGCTGAAAATTTGTGAATTGCAATCTTTTGTGTAGTTATTTGACATGATCGTGCGAGTCTTCTTCGCGTCTGAGTGATTTCTAGGGTTTTATATTACAGATGTACAGTATGACAGTTTGTACTAGTGAAGTCCCTTTTCTTCACTTTCCAATCTTTCAGAAGAAAAAAGAAGTTTGTTTTTGCTTTCTGGGAGAGAACTATTGATTACTGTTGCTCTGCTTTCATCTTGGTTTTTTTGGGTAATTGCCTGTGTTTAAATTGAAAGTATTGTGATTAAATTGATTATGATTGCAATCCAAGTTGTTTTCAGCATTTTAATGCCTTTTCTCACTTGGGTTTGAGCAGACAGTTTGTGAATTGCTCCATTTATCCTTGATTTTTCTATACAAATACCAAAGATTTATATTCCAATGCATTTTGAAAGGAAAAATAAATGGTGACTTGACTTGTGATGAATCTTTGTACATTTTTAGTGCTGCATGGTATTCATTATTGCTGCAAAAAAGAATGTAACGTCAACGTTGATGTGCAGTGTTGGAGTCAAAATATGTATCCACTCTTTATGCTTAATTCGAGCCATCTTTATCTTTATATCAGAAATATACGTGTCTTTCCTTGAATATGGTGTTGCGTATGCTTCTGTCATTGTTTTTATTTTTCTCGCTGGACTTAGGGCTTTGCCTTCCTTTTCCGTTTTTGGTTTACTGTATGTAGTGTAGTGTTTTTTTAGGTTGTGCTATTGGAGAATGACTCTATCTAATGACTTAAAACATAAACTTAATATAACTTGGGTATTTTTGCTTGTTATATGCGCTTGCTTTTTACATGGACAAAAGGGAAAATAGATATAATAATTATAATCAATTTTTTTTAATAATAGTAATCAATTTTTTTCTTCTTATTTTATGTAGGTTGGAGAAGTTGGGAGCTCTTGAGTGGACGAAAGTGGTGCACAAACACCAAGCATGGAGGCTTATCACTTGTATCTGGGTACATGCTGGTATTATTCATCTGCTTGTGAACATGTTGTGCCTGGTCTTTATTGGAATTCGCCTTGAACAACAGTTTGGCTTTGGTATGTTGCGTTCTTCCTTGTTTTTGAAATTATTGTCGAACCTTTTGGCTTGAAAAAGTTGAGTGTCGTCAGTATTGTAAGATTTGTGGAATTTTCATTTAGTAAGAAAATTTTCATGAAGAATAAATTTTGTATAAGTTATAAATCTCATTTCTATATCATTTTATTCAAGAAGAATACTTCTGTTTTCATCTTCTGTTCTCTCGTTGGATTTCTGGAACTTCTGTTTCAGTTTGTGTATGTTATCACTTAGTCACTTGGTTTATACCATGTTTTGTGTATTTATTTTTATTTTTTTTGTTTAATTAATGTTTAAAAAAAAACAATAGTCATCTTGTCCTCTGACCTTTGGCCCTTGGGATTAAAATTTTCAGTTCGTATTGGAATCATCTACCTGTTATCAGGATTCGGTGGGAGCATACTTTCCGCTTTGTTCCTTCAAAAGAGCATTTCCGTTGGTGCTTCTGGTGCTCTTTTTGGTCTTCTTGGAGCAATGCTTTCAGAGCTTATTACCAACTGGACTATTTATACCAACAAGGTGAGCAATCGCTAAGCCATGTTGCCGATTTCAAGTATTTTTTGTACTGTTGATGACCTTACATTTGTCATTGATATCATAAGATAATATTTGGCTTTGTTGTTGCATTTAAATAGCAGTGGCAGGCTCACAATATATTTGAACTTCTCTTTTCCCTTTTCAGGTTGCAGCGCTCTTAACATTAATTGTCATTGTAGTTATCAACCTAGGTATTGGAATTCTGCCGCATGTTGATAATTTTGCCCATATTGGTGGATTCGTCTCGGGTTTTTTCCTAGGCTTTATTTTGTTGCTTCGTCCTCAGTATGGATGGGTAACGCGTCGGAATCTTCCAGTTGAGGTCCGTGTCTCATACAATTTATATATATATATATATATTTGATATTAACAAAATATTTTAATATTTAAATTAGGTAACAAATTATATATAATTTAAACCGTTTGAATTCGTAATTACAAAATTATAGATCGAATTGTAAAATACAATTTGTCTATTTTAAAAATTAAAACCGAATGGTATACTAAAAAAACCAAATTAAACTATACAATTTGGTTTGGACCAGACAAACTTAGCCTCCGTTTGGAAGTGGATTGGCTTTTTGACTTTTTTAGCTATTTTAGCCTGGGCTTAAAAGCTTGGTTTGGGAAGAATTTTTTGACTTTTTGGCTTTTTTGAGTTTTTTTGTGAGAGAAGAATGTAATGATTATGGGTTGGATGTGATGTTTTGTTTGTTATGGCTAAAATAGCGTATTTTGTTTTTTGTTGTTAAAATAGCCAAAAAAAAGCCTGCAAACACACTTGCCAAACACAGGCTTATGATTTTTAATTTTTTTTCTCAACCCTACTTACCACTTGATAAGTACACATTATATAAATATTTTTTTTTATCATTTTTTTTATAATATTACAGTTATTTTATTTTAGAATTTCATACGGATCTCGAGTGCAGATCACATGTATATATATATATATATTTTGTATGGGGAGCAAATATTCAGGCAAGCCCGTACTCCTTTCTTCCAAGCTCCGCTACTGTCCGATCACCTGCGAGCACAACAGCGGTGAGCTACCCGGCGGTGTGTGGCCGGAAAACCCCTCCGACGGTCAAGTTAGCACACACCTTAGGATAGAGAGAAAGAGAGAGGAGTGCTAGAGTATAGGAGTTCCTTACAGAATGTTCATCCGTCCGCGTATGGGGGCCGCAGACATACTTATATACCCTCTGCGCCCTATATCCACTCCCAGTCATCTCTTGACACGTGGCTCCGCTATCCCATCTGTCAGCGTAAACCTTGCTGAATATCACCTAATCTCAATTGCCTGCCTTCTCAACTGGAGCTCGGCAGCCGAGCTGCTCTATCCACGGCCGTGCTATGCTTCATACCCAAGCACTTCACTGGCTAAGCCCAAGGAGGACCGGGCTAGGCGGCATCTCGGCAAAGCCAAGCCCGGGACACCTCCTGTGGTCGGCCTTCCTGCCGATCAAACGATTACCTCGGCTGACCACGCCTTTCCGGGCGCCGGTCACTGAACTTGACTGGCTCCACCATCGCCTGATCAAGCAGCTCGGTCCAACCTAGCACTGCCTTGCCGAGCAGCTTCTTTACGGTCTGGGACGGCACATACTTGGCCCAACTCCTACCCGGCTCAAGTCCTGGCAGCCCATCTCCGGGCGGATCGCCGGTCATCTGGGCCCCATGCACCATTAGGCTCCCAACCTGCTCGGCCGTTACCTCGGCCCAATTCCAGATCATAAATCTCCCTCTCAATTGCCCCTTAATTCCGTCCGCTGAAGCGTGACTGGGATTACCTATACTGACCTGGATAATCTTTTCCTCGGTCCGCGGTTTGCAGAATGGCGATCAGGCCGGTTATTATTCCTGGCTTCAGAACTTGCCCGGTTCAACTTCCCGGTTTTTCAGCAAAACATCTCGGTATAAATTGTAAAATTGAACATAGCACCCAAGTTGAACTTACCAACTTTTTCAACCGAAATACCTATCTCGGCTGGAAATAACTATGTTGGACAAAACATCAACTCTTCCAACCGGAGTAAATCATCTCGGTTAGGGATCCGAAGTTGGACAAAACACCAACACTTCCAACCGGAGTAAATCATCTCGGTTGGGAATCCGAAAACACCAACACTTCCGACCGGAGTAAATCATCTCGGTTGAGAATCCGAAGTTGGGCAAAACACCAACTCTTCCAACCGGAGTAAATCATCTCGGTTGGGAATCCGAAGTTGGGCAAAACACCAACTCTTCCAACCGGAATAAATCATCTCGGTTGGGAATCCGAAATTGGGCAAAACACCAACTCTTCCAACCGGAGTAAATCATCTCGGTCGGGAATCCGAAGTTGGGCAAAACACCAACTCTTCCAACCGGAGTAAATCATCTCGATTGAGCATGCCTGAACTGAACAAAACATCTTGTATAACCGGAATACACCATCTCGGTTTTAATTCTGATAGAATTGAACAAAACGTCAACTCCCTCAACCGGAGTAGGGCATCTCGGTTGGAATCTCTGAGTCGAACAAACCATCAACTCCTTCAACCGGAGTAACTCATCTCGATTGGAATCCCTGAGTTAAACAAACCATCAACTCCTTCAACCGGAGTAACTCATCTCGGTTGGAATCCCTGAGTTGAACAAACCATCAACTCCTTCAACTGGAGTAACTCACCTCGGTTGGAATCTCTGAGTGGAACAAACCATCAACTCCTTCAACCGGAGTAACTCATCTCGGTTGGAATCCCTGAGTCGAACAAACCATCGACTACTTCAACCGGAGTAACTCATCTCGGTTGGAATCTCTGAGTCGAACAACCATCGACTCCTTCAACCGGAGTAACTCATCTCGGTTGGAATCGCTGAGTTGAACAAACCATCAACTCCTTCAACCAGAATAACTCATCTCGGTTGGAATCTCTGAATTGAACAAACCATCAACTCCTTCAACCGGAGTAACTCATCTCGGTTGGAATCCGAAGTTGGGCAAAACACCAACTCTTCCAACCGGAGTAAATCATCTCGGTTGGGAATCCGAAGTTGGGCAAAACACCAACTCTTCTAACCGGAGTAAATCATCTCGGTTAGGAATCCGAAGTTGGGCAAAACCCCAACTCTTTCAACCGGAGTAAATCATCTTGGTTGGGGATCCGAAAAGTTCTTAAGCAAAAGTAATTCACTTCTATTACATTGACAAAAAGAGTATCACATTCAGAAGTGTAGGGGAAACAAGTTCTTCCTCAAAAAATTACTTAAGAATGACAAGAATATAATAGTTTGAGGTTAGCCGCATTCCATGGCCGGGGTACGCCTTCGCCATCCAAATCTTCTAAGTGGTATGCCCCCTTACCCGCCAAACTGGTTATCTTGTAAGGCCTTTTTGTCTGTTGCCACCAGGGTTGTCTTCGCGGTGGACGCCGCTACATCATCCTCTACTCGGATGTGTTCATTGATTCGCTGCATTAGTTGTCCCATGGATAGCAGCTGGTTCATTGTAAGCGAGTCCCTCAGTCTATGTCCGACCGGGAGACCACGCTTGTATTGGGTGATTGCCAGGTTGACCAGGCAATCCAAGATCTCGTTGAAGGTTTCCCAATATCTTGAGTTGTATGCCTTCAGTGTGTCGCTCGGCTCCATCTTGACACTGAGAAGGTGGTCAACTTCCTTTGGCATTTTGGTGTTGATTTTGAAGCGCGTCACAAAGGCTTCGGCTAACTACTGCCACCTTTCTATGCTCCCCTCTGGCAGCCTCTCAAACCATTTCAAGCCCAGTCCGCCCAAACTTGACGGGAAGATAAGGCACATAAGAGCGTCATTCCGCCTATGTCCGGCCATGACCTGTAGGAAGTGGCTTACATGCATATAGGGATCAGTTTTTCCGTCGTAGAGCGTGAACTTAGGCTGGTGGAAGCCCGCGGGAAGCGATGTTGTTTCTATCTCTACGGAGAAAGGGGTGGCACTTAACCTGGCCAAATCAGAATCCACTAAGAGTGGCGCTATCTGGCGGGGTGGAGGCATTCCGACCTCCTCGCTGGCGTGAACCCCGTAGGATAGCCGCTGGAACGCCGGTATCCTCTGAGTCTCACGTCGGCGAGCCCGCTCCTTTAAGACCGCCCGCAAATCCTCTGAATAAGCGGAGTAAGAGTACTTCGATGTCGTTACCGGACGTGAGGGCCGGTAAGTGCTATCTTGCGCGCTAGACTTCTCTGCGTGCACGTCGGAATCACCAACCTGGTAACTTCTGGTGATAGAGATGGATGGAGTGCGTCGCTGACTCTGACTGCCTGAACGGCGGGATGGGGTGCGCTCACTGTGGTCACCCACTCCAGCTATACCCTTCCCTTTGACATGCCGCTTGAGCTCCTCCATCTCCGTCGTCATTCGCTGGATGACAGCGTCTTGGTCCCTCAACTGGTGTTCCAAGCGTCGGGCATGTGATTCTCTCTGCCGCCGATGACCGTCCGGACTTCATGAGTGACCATAACTTCTTTCGCGCTTATCCCGCGCGTCTCCTGACTGTCCTCCGGTGGGTGTCTCCAAGTCCTCCATTGGATGGATGGCGGGAGGTCCCTCTCTCCTTCGGGCGAACTCCGGGGTGGCTCCGTCTATGGCAAACAACGGAAACTCATCGTTGTTCGCCATGGACGGTGATCAGACGAGCCTGGAAGACAAGGTTTTGTCTGTCAAGCTTCCCACAGACGGTGCCAATTGTACGGGGAGCAAATATTCAGGCAAGCCCGTACTCCTTTCTTCCAAGCTCCGCTACTGTCCGATCACCTGCGAGCACAACGGCGGTGAGCTACCCGGCGGTGTGTGGCCAGAAAACCTCTTCGACGGTCAAGTTAGCACACACCTTAGGATAGAGAGAAAGAGAGAGGAGTGTTAGAGTATAGGAGTTCCTTACAGAATGTTCATCCGTCCGCGTATGGGGGCCGCAGACATGCTTATATACCCTCTGCGCCCCATATCCACTCCCCAGTCATCTCTTGACACGTGGCTCCGCTATCCCATCTGTCAGCGTAAACCTTGCTGAACATCACCTAATCTCAACTGCCTGCCTTCTCAACTGGAGCTCGGCAACTGAGCTGCTCTATCCACGGTCGTGCTGTGCTTCATACCCAAGCACTTCACTGGCTAAGCCCAAGGAGGACCGAGCTAGGCGGCATCTCGGCAAAGCCAAGCCCGGGACACCTCCTGTGGTCGGCCTTCCTACCGATCAAACGATTACCTCGGCTGACCACGCCTCTCCGGGCGCCGGTCACTCAGCTTGACTGGCTCCACCATCGCCTGATCAAGCAGCTCGGTCCAACCGAGCATTGCCTTTCCAAGCAGCTTCTTTACGGTCTGGGACGGCACATAGTTGGCCCAACTCCTACCCGACCCAAGTCCTGGCAGCCCATCTCCGGGCGGATCGCCGGTCATCTCGGCCCCATGCACCATTAGGCTCCCAACCTGCTCGGCCGTTACCTCGGCCCAATTTCAGATCATAAATCTCCCTCTCATATATATATATAAATATATATTAATATTAGTAGTACCTTGGAAGCGAGAGGAAAGTCGCCGTGCGTGGACCAAAGGTGGCGGCGAACAAACCGATCGGCGGCGCTAATTCTTCTCATCACATCAATCAAAAGCCCGACCGCGAAGTCGGCAACGTCTTTGGAGAATACACTTCCGGCATTGGCGACGGAGATTCTCTGGCGGTGGCATTCCGGCAGGTCAATATTGTTTATGCTGGTGCTGTTAGTGACGACTAGTTGGACAGAAGGGAGGCGGCGGAGAAGATCGGCGGTGATCGGAGTCCCACCGGAGCACAGGACGGCTTTGACGGAGTGTGCGTAATTTGCGAGGAAGAGATCGGTGGAGAGAGGAGATTCGTAGGCTTTGAGGATTCGAAACTTGGCAGAGAAATTGTGTTGGAACGCTGTGAAAGCTGGTGGTGGACTTAGGACTAGGACTTGTGGTGGGAGTTCTTGCTCTTGATTTGGGTTGTGGTGGTATTGTGCCATTTGAGAGGGCTGAGAAAACAAGGACAGAGAGACGGGCTAGAGAAGTTGTTCAACATGGTTTTCGTTAGATTGCGTAAACGGAAAATTGTATGTATACCTCCAAGAGTGTGTATTATAAGTATTCTATTATAAATTAGTACAATTTTATTATAAAATTTTATAATATTAATATCAATTAAAAAATTTCATAACATTAATTATAAAATACGTAATTTTGTCATAAATTTATATAATAAAAAATATCCTAATCAACTTATAAACTTTTGTTATATAAATTACAAAATTTTCTATATTTTATTAAGTTAATTTATGGTGAAATTATATTTTATGGTTGATGTTACAAAATTTTATAATAAAGATATACCAATTGTGATAAGGCGCATATAATACACATCGATGGAGGAGTGTGTACTATAGAGTTTTATGTGTAAATGAAATATAATTTGTGATTATTTATGGTAAAAGAAATTATTTAATGTTCTAATAAGGGCTAATTTATACTTAGTTATTATAATTTTTTTTCCCTTCTTAAACTTGAAAAAAAAGAAGGGAAAATTGCACTTCCGTGTAGATTTTTTTTTTATAAATATAAATCAACGAAAATTTTTATCAATTTTAACAATTAAAATTATAAGTTCTTCTTTAAATTTGTAAATATTTTTTAAAGGGTCTTGTTAATAAGTGCTTCTATGATATAAATAAAAAATAAAAAAAATTGAGAAACACAAGACACTTTTTACTAAACTTAATGAACTTTTATTGAAATCAATACACTTTTAATAATTTTATATATTTTAAAGATATTTTATACACACTTCTTAACATTAAATAATGCATAAAAAATATTTGTTAGTATTTGCCTTTTGTGAAAATACAACTTATTTGCAATTATTCTAAAAGAAAAAAGTTTTGTTAACAAGCACCTTATTAATAATGCATTAATGAGATGAATCATCTCTACTTAAGGTTCTTTGGCATTGGCTTTTTTAGTCAATTTTTTTGTATTGAGATTTTTTTAGCATGATTTTTTTTAGTTTTGTTTGGTTTTGTTTTGAGATTTTTTTTAGAAAAAAAGTGTAATGATTATGGGTAAAAAGTAGTATTTTGTCTTATTGACGTATATAACTTATTTCGTCTTTTTATGATTATTCAGTTCTAAAATATTAGCCAAACCATGGCTTATTTTGGGAAGTATTAAAAAAATTAACTCTTTTTTATTATTATTTATTAGTGCAAAAAAAAGTACAAAAAAATAAAGATGATATAATAAAAATAAATCAATAAATAATTTTTTTTTAACACTTCTGAAGGAAGCCATATAGAAGGTTTTAGTGTGTTTGGTTTCGTGGTAGTATTTGGTAGAATTTTAAAATTATAATTTGATAATAGAATTATATTTTAAGTTTGTGAGTTTTAAAATTATGATTTAAAAAGATAAAATTTTTTTGGTTAGAGTTTTAAATTTTTGATGTGACATGAAATGAGAAATATTATTTGGTTATAACTGTAACGACCCCGCCACATATAATATTTTATATTTAATTAATTCTTATTATAATTTAATTGTGAAATTCTTAATAAAGTGAAATTGACGATAAAATTATTTTAATTTCAAGCATTAGATCATATAAGAGTTTAATTAAATATTCGATCGAGTTTAGTAAATTTGAAATCTTATTAATTTGGCCAAAATTAAAGGTGATTAAGTTATAGAAAGAAAATAAAATAATAAATAAATAAAATAAATATATATATATACAATGCCTTGTCATCACCCTAGCATATGGGGGGATGAATATGCACATATAGGTTAGTAAAGTCATCAAGTGGGACACGGGGAAGTGGGCAGCGATGCCACCTGTGAGACAGGTGGCCGAGCTTGAAATTGCCACTCGGCAAAAGCTAATGAAGCCTTACCACCTATAAATAAGTTGCCAATTGCTGGGCATAGGAATGGAAACATAAACTACGGTGTAGTAGTTAGTAGCGGAAAATTAGTAGTCGGAAAACAAAAGTTGAAGATGAATATTAAAGTGAGTTATGTTTGTTTTTACTTTTTAAAAAATATTTTTGAGAAAATTTTATTTTTTTATTTTTCGTATTTTTTTATTTTTATTGAATTTTTTTAATATTTTAAACATTTTTTTTATTTTTTAGACACACTTAACATAAATATACTTAAAAAGTAAAAAAATTATAAAAAAAATCTTTTAATAATTTACTAAATACCAAAAATATAAAAATATATATATATATATATAAATTCAGTATATTTTTTGTATTTTTATGTATTTATTAAATTTTTAAAATATTTTTTCACAAATTTTTTATTTTTTAGATACATATAAGTAAGGTGCATCTAAAAAACTAAAAAAAAAATATTTAAAATTTAAAAAATATTCACTAAAAACAAAAAAAATATGAAAACAAAAAAAGTCAATTTTCAAAAAATTTAATCCAAAAAATTCAAACCAAACACACTGATTATATTTTATATATGTTGAGTTATTATAGTTTATTTTTCGTAATTTGTGTTTTATAAATTATATTGATATTTCAATTACGTTAATTATTTTCTGAACTCTATTTGCTTAAAATGAAACCCATAGATATGTTTGTTTAAATTTTAGAAATTATTTGACAATGATTTTATAAACATTTATATTTTATAAGTACCACCACGGGAGTCTCATGTCTTGAGGGACTTAAATAACCATTGGTCTCTGTTTGGTTACTTTGTGGCCTTCTGTTTGTCATGGATCCATTGACCTCTGTTCTAACTGTCACTCCAGTGACCTTTGTTCTGTTCTGTTATGTACCTTGGTTATGGTTATTTATTTACATAATTTTTGTATTTCAGTTTCTGGCAATGAAATAATTTATTTATTCAAATTAAGTTGTGTTAATGTTTTAGTTTAAATAACTATCCATGGTTGTTTTGTGTCCCTTATACTCTTAGCATAATATTTCTCACCCTGTTATGTGTTTATAGTTTAAACCAATTTCAAGTGATGTGTCAAAACCAATGCATGGAGTAGGCACTTTGCAGTTATAGTACAACTCTAGCATTGCAATCGAATATATTCTCCAATGTACACATTTTTGTTATACTTGAATGAAGATTTGAATGTCCTTTTATTTTACTCCGCTGCATTATTAATTTGTTATGACTTCAGTTATTATTTTGCCGCGGCGCTGAACCTCAGGGTATCCGATTTGGGTCATGACAATAACTCATAACCAAATACACAACTCAAAATTTTATTGAAAATTATATTCAAAACTCATAACCAAACTCTTTTTAAAATTTAATGAGAAAAAATAATGTCATTTTTGTCTAAAAAAATAATTTCTTTATTTAAAAAATATCAAAAATAAATATTTTTTTTCCCCAAATAATAGGTAGCAATTGGCAATTGCAAAAAAAAAAAAAGTATTGCTCCGGTTAACTGGTCGAACGACCGGTCGGACATCCAGGCAGATGACTGGGTAGATCAAAAATTCAAAAACTGTTTGGTTTACCAAACATGTTTTTCAAAATGTGTTTTGAAATTGATTTGGAATCCTAATTTGAAAACTAAAACCAAGCATAGCATTCAAATATAAGGGTGGAAAATTGATTAGAAACTTGCACCAAACACAGTTTTCTGAAATTTCTGAAAATTGAGTTTTTTATTTTTCATATTTTTTTGTTTTTAGTAAATACTTTTAAATTTTAAGAAATTTTTTTACTTTTTTAGATGTACCTTATTTAAATGTATCTAAATAGTAAAATATTTGTGAAAAAATATTTTAAAAAATTAATAAATACACAAAAATATGAAAAATATACTGAATTTTCATTTTTATTGTTGTATTTTTTGGTATTTAGTGTATTTTTTTAAAAAAAAATTTCACAAATATTATACTTTTTAAATGTATTTATGTTAGGCATGTCTAAAAATTTTTAAAAAAAAATACTTAAAATATTAAAAAAAATCTTTGAAAATATTAAAATACAAAAAATAAAAAGTAAAATTTTCTAAAAATTATTTTCTGAAAATCAAAACCAAACAAGCTATCTCCATTAAAAAATTATTCTTTTTCTAAAAGGGACTAAAATACTTTTTTTTTTGTTACAATTCCCTCAATTTTACTTTTTTTTTTTTTTGTGTGTGTAAAATCTACTTTTAAACTCTTTATTCGGATACCTGTATGCTCTTAATTTTTTTTAGATTGAGGAGAAAATTTTTTTAGATTGAGGAGAAAATTTTTACTGCAAAATTGATAAAATATCGGCTTAATTTAATCCAGATATCACAAAATCTTAAAAAACAAAATAAATTAAACAGCGTTCTTTGATGGAAAGATCTGAACCTCCGTAGAGGAGGTAAAAAAAACTCTCACAAGGAAGAGAAATAAATCTCCACCTATGGAGAATTATTATATCAATACACGAAAAATTAAGAAAATTAAATAGAAAAAATCATATTTAAGTCACCATCGAATCCATCCAAAACTCCATTGCTTTACGGCCTTTAATTTGAGATCTAAAGATCCCACATCTACAGATTAAGATAAAATATTAAAATTGAGGTGGTTGCCTAGTGTGAAACAAACCTATTATCTAAGGCTCCGTTTGTGAAGAAAAAAGCCAGGCTTTTTTAGCTAAAATAGCTTAGCCACAAAAAATAAAACATCAAATTCAACCCATAATCATTACAATCCTCTCTCACAAAAAAAGCCAAAAAAGTTAAAAAGCCAAAAAATCCTTCCCAAACCAGGCTAAAATAGCCAAAAAACCAAAAAATCAAAAAGCCAATTCACTTCCCAAATTGAGGCTAACATTGACTTTTCGATATGTGAGAAGATCTTAAGTTAGATATTAAAGTTTTAAATTCAAAAACATTAAAGAGAAGATGAAGATTAAAGAGAGAGGAGGAAAAGATGTCACGACCCGCTACCCGTACTCAAGGGTTAAGTATCGTGATGGCCAGTAACTGAAGTTACCTCCGGCCAAT